GTCATTTTAAAGATGTGGAATCTGAAAAATAAAAAATAAAAAATCTTAAACTGAAACGAAATTTATGTCAAATTTCATGTCTATTTTTTTAGAAGTGTTAACCCGCTTGCTTCACAGCTGCATCCGTATTTCTTTTGTGCTTTTAAAATTTATTAAAAGGTGATAGTTTAAATTATAACAACTGTATTTTTGGTCATTAAATGACTAAATTACAGTATCCTTTGTGCGGGCCGCAGGTGTGCTTGCAAAGGGCAGCAAGTTTGACATGCTTGCTGAGTCTAGAAGGTAGGAAGTAGTGAAAACTGTAATTAGGGAAGAGGTATGAATTTGTCCTTAATGGACTAAGTGGAATTAATAAACCCATCTCATTATCTGCACATAAGCTAATGAGAGTTTGGAGCAAGTATATTACGTCAGTAATATACTTGCTGGAGCAAGTGGAGCAAACATATTACGTCAGTAATATACTTGCTGGAGCAAGTGGAGCAAACATATTACGTCAGTAATATACTTGCTGGAGCAAGTGGAGCAAACATATTACGTCAGTAATATACTTGCTACACGTCCTTCTCTCTGATGTTTTTTTGGCCATTTATGTATATGATCTAACTCTATACTGTCGAGTGTATGACTCCACTTTCCTCCAACGTTGGCTCAAACTTGCGATTGATGCTGTGTCGTCTTGGACCACCAATCATGGCTTCAAGTTCTCTGCTTCTAAGACTTGTGGTTTGACTGTCACTAAGATGCAAGTTGTTCTTCGTCCCCCACTGTCGCTCTGAGATCGTTCCCCTCTATATAGGGATTCTGCTAAACTGTTGGGGTTGATTTTTAACAATCGTTTTCTTGATCCTCAATATCTCTTACCTCAAGAGTCGAATGCTCTAAAGCTTTTAAGCTCCTTTGTGTCTTGTCCTGTACTTCCTGGGGGATGCTGATAGATGCTCGCTCCTCTCTATGCATTTTTCTCTTGTGCTGTCTAAACTGAATTATGGCTTCTCAGCCAATGCCTCAGCTCTGTTGCCTTTCGCTCATCCCCTATCCGGAGCTTGAACATTTAATAGGACGCCTTGTCGCTCCAGGATGTCTTGGTAGGTTACCAGGAGACCTGCCTTCGCTACCTCGCAAGGTCTCTGCAACATCGTCATTCTTGCTTTTGTAGGGCTTTAACTGTTGCCCCCTCCAGTGGGCCCTGTTCCATTTCACCTTCCTTTTTCATTTTGTATTAGCAATGTCTTTCCTCATGTCGTTCCATCCTTATCTCCTTGGGAAGTCCTGCTTGTGAAAGTGTGGAAGTCTTTGACCCATGTGGTAAAGGCATCTGGAGAACAGGAGAACCCCTCCTGTTGTTCTAAAACGCCTTTTCCTTGAACATTTTTCTTCGCACTCGGATTCTGTTGCTCACTTCACAGATGGGTCAAAGTCTGCTGACGGTGTTGGGTACTCTGTTGTCTTTCCAGACCTAATGTATATGTGCTGGAGGCTGGCATCTTCACGGCTGAACTGTATGAACTATACTCACCGAGTTGTTTGCAGGGGTTGAGCTCTGGCTCTTTGGTCCCGCCTCTCAACTGTCAATCAACTGGTGTACAGATTCCTGAGCCTACTGGGCTCTATCATATCTCCATTTGAAACTGTATGGAGTCAGCCTCCACCACATCACTGCGTAATGCACTCCCTCTATAACTACTATGACACTGAAAAAGTTCTTTCTAACGTCCCTGTGGCTCATTTTGGTACTCAGTTTCCACCTGTGTTCCCTTGTTCGAGTACATCCTGTGTTAAACAATATATCTTTATCTATTCTGTCGATTCCTCTTGGAGTTTTGTAGGTAGTGATCATGTCTCCTCGAGCTCTCCTATCTTTCAGCGAAGTTAGGCGCATTTGATGCAGCCTTTCCTAGTAACTCATGCCTCTTAGTTCTGGGACTAACCTAATGGCATACCTCTGAATTTTTCCAGCTTAGTCCTGTGCTTGACAAGGTACGGGCTCCATGCAAGGGCTGCATACTCCAGGATTGGTCTTACATTTGTGGTATACACGGTTCTGAATTATTCCTTACAAAGGTTCATGAAGACAGTTCTGATGTTAGCCAGCCTCGCATATTCCGCCAATGTTATTCTTTTTATGTGGGCTTCAGGAGACAGGTTTAGTGTGATATCAACTCGTAGATCTTTCTCTCTGTCCGTTTCATGGAGTACTTCATCTTTCATTCTGTTTCCTGTGTCTGGCCTCCTGTTTCCACCGCCTAGCTTCATTACCTTACATTTACTCGGGTTAAACTGTAGTAGCCATTTGTTGGACCATTCATTCAGTTTGTCTAGGTCATCTTGTAGCCTCATACTATCTTCCTTTGACTATGTGTATTGCGCAGTGATAAAACACTCGCCCAGCGCTTTGGTTTGAGTTTGTATCCTGGCCGGGGTAGATTGACCAGGTGCCAATCCGTAACTGTAGCTTCTGTTCACCCAGCAGTGAATGGGTACCTGGTTGTTAAACGATTTGTCGGGTTGTATTCTGGGGAAAAATTAGGATTAAGGACCTGCCCGAAACGTTATTCATGCTATTGGCTTTGCAATAATGTTACAACTCTTGTATATAAAAAAAAATAAAAAAATAAACATTAAAGTATGCTATCTTGTATGCCCTTCGTCAATCGCTTTTCTATCGTCAACGCTCCTTTGCCATTAGGGTTAACTTTTGTAGTGTGCTCTTGACTTTGGAATACATCCTGTGGTAGTTGAAATCTAATGTAAGCTGTTTCTATTTCAAGCAGATTTAAACAGGTTGAGTTTTGCTGGGTTCCCGGCCATATTGGTATGTCCTTTAATGAGCGTGCAGACGTGTGCCGCTAAGGAGGCTATCCGCACTTGTCCTATTTCCCAAAAAGGTGTTCCTTATTCCGATTTCATTTCAGTCATTCATTGCTCTATCTATATCCGTTAGCAGGGTCCTTGGTCTTAGGTTACTGATAACAAACTGCGTGCTCTTAAGGGTAGTGTGTCCCCGTGGCCTTCCTCTTACCACCGTAACTGGTGGTGGGAAACAGCTCTGGCAAGGTTGTGTATTGGCCATACACGCTTAACTCACGGTCACGTAATGGAGAGCCGCCCTGCTCCTCATTGTCCAAACTGCATGGTCCCTCTTACGGTCGTGCATATCCTTGTTGAATGTCCTGACTTTCAGGACGAACGTGTGTCGTGCTTCCCGACCGTCCTTCGCGGTCACTTGTCCCTCGATAATATCCTTGGGGAATCATATACCTTTCATATCGTTCGCCTTATGCGGTTTTATTCTCACATTGGCATCCTTCACGATATTTAGCGCTTTTTGATTATCCCGCGACATTGTTGGTGCTACATAGTCTCCTCGGCTTGGTGCCTTCTTTTGAAAATTATTGATTTACAGTCCAGAGTTAATGGTATACCCATAATATAATGCCACAGCTCAGAAGTTAATGGTGTACCCATGATATAATGACAGTCCAGGAGCTAATGGTATACCCATAATATAATGAGCCCAGGAATTAGTGTACCCATGATATAATGACAGTCCAGGAGTTAGTGTACCCATGATATAATGACAGTTCAAGAGTTAATAGTGTACCCCATGATATGTCAGCCCAGGAGTTAGTGTACCCATGATATAATGACTGTCCAGGAGTTAGTATACTCATGATATAATGACACAGGCCAGGAGTTAGTATACTCATGTTATAATGGCACAACTGTTACCACCCCTGGTTATGACTTGGCTCGTGCCTGACACGAGAATAATGTATACCTAGGCCTATCACGTTCTTATGTTCACGAGTATGATCCCCAAAACCCTGTGAGGTACTGAAGCAGGCACCGGTAAGAATATTCAGAAAGGAACACAAAACGAAGAACAAAAATTAAAACTTCTAAGTATAATATAACAAATTATTTCAAAATGGGCTTATTGATCACAACTGACTATATAAACACAGATGGACATATATTCGAACACCATACTAATTAACCACCTTATGGTCATGAACACAATTATACAATACTTAACTGACACAGATATGTTATCACCGGACCTCTCTACTTGCTAGATCCTCTAGATCGTAACAACAGCCCAGGATTTAATAGTGTATCCATGATATAATGACACAGTCCAGGAGTTAATAGTGTATCCATGATATAATGACACAGTCCAGGAGTTAATAGTGTATCCATGATATAATGACACAGTCCAGGAGTTAGTATAGTGTACCCATGATATTGTGGAGGCGGTCGCCTATGGGGTATGGGACAACCGACCACTTGGTAACCGACATATACATATATGGGTGTAATAAGAAGACAGTTGCTCACCTTGAGCTTACGTCTTCTGGAAGCGGGCTGAAGCGATACGGTGGCTTTTCTGGGGGCGAGGTCCAAGAAGTCTGTCCAATATGGGGCTGGATAACGAAAGGTCCAAGGAGCGTCAATGACAGGTCTAGCTGCGGTCAGGTGCGGTTCTTCTCTGTCCCGCTCCACCCCCTCCTGGCATGGGCGTGGGTGGCGCGCAGACGCACGGCGCAGGGCTGCCGTCCACCAATCAGGAATCCGGTTCTGCCTATCGCAAAAGATACTCCCGCTGGCGGGCACTTTGAATATGGTTCCCTCCACAATATAATGACAGTCCAGGAGTTAATAGTGTGTCCATGATATAATAACAGTCCAGGAGTTAACAGTGTACCTATGATATAATGACCCGACCAGGAGTTAATAATGTACCCATGATATAGTGACAGTTCAGGAGTTAATAGTGTCCTCATGATATAATGGCATTCCAGTTATTAATAGTGTACCCATGATATAATGACACTGTCCAGGTATTAATAGTGTACCCATATATAAGGAAAAATCAATTAACTATTTATATATGTTGATACAATGTTGTGACATAAAAATTTTCTGCAAGATGGTAATAAATTGTGTTGTTCTTCTCTGTACATTTACTTATAGTGCATCTTCTTCTTCTCCAGATGTGTTAGAGATCTGATGGCATCTGGGGACCGGAAGAAAAAGAAGCGCATCTGCCCTGACTGTCGCAAATCGCTCAATTCCCGCTTGATGCTTATTTGTTACGACGAACTGAAAGCGGCCTACAGTGACGGGAGGGCACCTACCTTTCCACGCTACCATCCTTCTCCTTCGTCAGATGACCAGCCTCTTTGATACTCAACCCCCTACCCCCCACCCTCTCTTAAGGATGACATCTGCTTCTGGCTCTTCTGTTGTACGTAAAGTCATAGAGAGCGCCTCAGTCATCTCCCGACAGCTACACGAACGAACAGTTGGCCGGCATCACAGTTTTTACAAATAATCTGTTACTAGGCTATGCGGATTTTGCACCCGCGGTGAACGACAATCCGTTTGAGGACAACTTTATCTGGCCTTGAAACTGCTAAAACCTGTGTAACTAAGAGGCTGTCTTATAAGGTGTAGCAGATATTATGAGGTGGGTGTGAGGGAGGCGGTCAGTCTCACCCCGTCTGGTGGGTGAGGATCGTGAGGAGTTACCAAGAGAGAGAGACATCTAGCCGTCCTCCAGGCTAGTGTGGTGAGGCTCACCAGACTCCAGTACAAGATCAGTGTCATTGGCATGGTGGCAAACAATATTGTGAGCAGCAATCAGTAAGAAGTCAGAATTCATAGATTATATATTTATCTCACAGTTGTTGCATATTCATAAGGTTACTAGATGTGTATAAGTGACAAACTGGCTTTCTTAATTGTTGTACATTTAACAAATTTGCTTTACATTTGGTGAATATACATGAAAGTCCCAGCCTTCATGCGAACAATAAATATAAAAACTTGACAGCGAGGCACGTGAACAAGCTTTATTGTGTTTAAGTGTGTGTGTTTGTAGTTGGCAACTACGGTGGTATAAGCAATGACAATCACTAGTGATCTCTCAGTCGTGTATAACAGGTGGGCCACACTATGGGAACCCAGCATGTGGTGCACACTATGGGAGCCCAGCAGGTGGTACACACTATGGGAGCCCAGCAGGTGGTGCACATTATGGGAACCCAGCAGGTGGGTCACACTTTGGTAGCCCAGCAGGTGGTGCACATTATGGAAGCCCAGCATGTGGTACACACTATGGGAGCCCAGCATGTGGGTCACACTATGGGAGCCCAGCATGTGGTGCACATTATGGGAGCCCAGCAGGTGGGTCACGCTATGGGAGCCCAGCATGTGGTACACACTATGGGAGCCCAGCATGTGGAACACACTATGGGAGCCCAGCAGGTGGGTCATACTATGGGAGCCCAGCATGTGGAACACACTATGGGAGTCCAGCAGGTGGGTCATACTATGGGAGCCCAGCATGTGGAACACACTATGGGAGCCCAGCATGTGGTACACACTATGGGAGCCCAGCAGGTGGTGCACATTATGGCAGCCCAGCATGTGGTACACACTATGGGAGCCCAGCAGGTGGGTCACACTATGGGAGCCCAGTAGGTGGTCCCCACCATGGGAGCCCGTCAGGTGAAACACCATGGGAGCCCGTCAGGTGAAACACCATGGGAGCCCGTCAGGTGAAACACCATGGGAGCCCAGCAGGTGAAACACCATGGGAGCCCAGCAGGTGAAATACCATGGGACCCCGTCAGGTGAAACACCATGGGAGCCCAGCAGGTGAAACACCATGGGAGCCCAGCAGGTGAAACACCATGGGAGTCCAGCAGGTGAAACACCATGGGAGTCCAGCAGGTGAAACACCATGGGAGTCCAGCAGGTGAAACACCATGGGAGCCCAGCAGGTGAAACACCATGGGAGTCCAGCAGGTGAAACACCATGGGAGTCCAGCAGGTGAAACACCATGGGAGCCCAGCAGGTGAAACACCATGGGAGCCCGTCAGGTGAAACACCATGGGAGTCCAGCAGGTGAAACACCATGGGAGTCCAGCAGGTGAAACACCATGGGAGCCCAGCAGGTGAAACACCATGGGAGCCCAGCAGGTGAAACACCATGGGAGTCCAGCAGGTGAAACACCATGGGAGTCCAGCAGGTGAAACTCCATGGGAGTCCAGCAGGTGAAACACCATGGGAGTCCAGCAGGTGAAACACCATGGGAGCCCAGCAGGTGAAACACCATGGGAGTCCAGCAGGTGAAACACCATGGGAGCCCAGCAGGTGAAACACCATGGGAGTCCAGCAGGTGAAACTCCATGGGAGTCCAGCAGGTGAAACACCATGGGAGCCCAGCAGGTGAAACACCATGGGAGTCCAGCAGGTGAAACACCATGGGAGCCCAGCAGGTGAAACACCATGGGAGTCCAGCAGGTGAAACACCATGGGAGTCCAGCAGGTGAAACACCATGGGAGTCCAGCAGGTGAAACTCCGTGGCATTCCAACAGAAACAATGAAGTTCACTCTTAATATACTGTGTACCTCAGCTTTAGGTTGTTAGGCTGGATAATACGGAAGTCAAGCACCTGCTCTCTGTAGCCTAATTGGCTGCAGTGGTATGTAAGGGATGAGCTAAGCATGGCTTGAGTGTTGTACCAACATTGGAAGCATTTACAGTGAGCAGAGATTGTTTTCTCTGGGATCAGAAAATGCCAAAGCCAATTTTAAGATGAAGATTTGCCTTTAGGCTTTCGTGGAACCATTACTCGAATATATCTCCATATCCCATCCAATTTTGATTTTATAAGAATTTACATTTAAAAAAAAATTATGAAATTTTACATTTTTATGTTTTCTTTGTAGAATAGTTGAGGCTGGGAATTGTATAGTACTCAGCATGCTACTCTAGTCAAGCGACTCGGTAAATAATGGCAATTCTGAGGTCCCATATAATTGTCTAATATATTCACCTTCGCCCTGTTTATCTCGGTGATAGTTTTCAGTTGCTGTTAACTGAAAATGAAGCCTTTCTTTTATTACTCAGAGAGAAGTAACATTCATTATTACAAATTTGTCAATAACTCGTTTCTATATGATAAGATCCTGATGTGAGATTATAGTTGAAAGGCTTTCAGCATTGCTATATCATAGATTTTTGTAATTGATGTGAAAAAACTTTAAACAGGCAATAAGAACTTATGTAAGAGTACCTTTATGTGTTCAAACAAAATTATATCATTGTGTGGGCAAAAGAGTACTTGGCCACAGACGCCTGTATATGACTGACAGTGTAAAAACACTTGGCAGGCATCAAACACCTAAAACTCGGCAGACTTCACGTCTTGTCAAACATAGGCTCAAATCGCATATATAGCCTTTCATATCCTACCATAGTCAAACTTTCAAGAAGTTTTGGCGGTTAATATGTTGATGATTCACAGGTGTGAGAGCTCATATTAGCATCAATGAGTCTAAAGGTGTGTTTGTGTGTGTGTGTGTGTGTGTGTGTGTGTGTGTGTGTGTGTGGTGTGTGTGTGTGTGTATGTGTGTGTGTGTGTGTGTGTGTGTGTGTGTGTGTGTGTGTGTGTGTTAAGTCATCGTTTTGAAGATTTAGGAATAATTGGCAGAGTCCTAGTAACATAAATAATACTTCTCTCTGTTCTTTTTTCTTATCAGAAATGAAAAAAATGTTCTATGTAATTTATGTAAAGAAAAGGCCTCTGAAAAACCACACTAATGCTGAACAAGTAGAGTTCCTTCACAAGCGCGGTTAAATTATGTAGCCTAGCATAGTGAGCAACAAGTGAGTTGTTACCTGGCAGAGACTCTGGTCTTTGTTATTGAGGCATATAGGCAAGGCTATATGAATCAGTTGGACGAGTCACATGTTATAATGTGATATAATATGCACCGACACTAAGCAGGAGTGACAGAGAACACAAGCGGTGCACTCCATGTTGCAGGCATTAAGGTGCACAGAAGCGCTGCACTCTGCAGTAAGCCGTGATTCGAACAAACCATTAGACAGACAACACACACACACACACACACTGAGCAAATAATATAATGCAGTAAGAAGACACACGTTAATCTGTATCCAAACACTGAAACTGTATTTACGTATTGCTCTACATCAACCAACCCATGAAATTCTATGCATACACAGTAGGACACTCTTGGACAGCTACACTATGCAAGAATGAGTACTTAGGCTAACGTTGCACAGTGACCGCTCACCGCTGGACAAGTTCACAAGGTGTATAAATGTATGACTACTCACAGAGAAATATATAATGAACTATGGTATGCAGGCTGCATAAGCTCAAGAACATTAGGTTAAGTGGTTCGTGGAAGGGTTTTATAAATGTAGGAGTATACCTGTAGTCGGTCTCGAGAGTTCTTCTACTCTCCAAACCAGGCTTGTCTGGTGATAGCTTGATCGGCAAGGCTGTTGCTAGTAGCAGCCCGCAGACCTAGTTCATTTAAAAAGAGATCACTATGTTACTTTTGAAATCTCTCAACAGGAAAAGGTTTTGTAAGATTTCTTGCAAAATAATGTTAATTACAATGTTTTGCTCTACTAGAACCAGTTATTGCAAGGATCAGCTATTGCTAGGATCAGCTGTACTAGGATCAGCTATTGCTAGGATTAGCTGGACTAGGATCATCTCTTGCTAGGATGAGCTGTACTAGGAATAGCTGTTGCTAGTATCAGCTGTGTTAAAATCAGATGTTGCTAGAACCAGCTGTTACTTGGATCAGTCGTGCTAGGACCAGCTGTTGCTAGGACCAGCTGTTGCTAGGACCCACTGTGTGCATAGTTTCAGAATGTTTCACATCGAATCCGAAGTGCCAACTGGACTCCAAATTCCTGTAGAGATTGTGGCAGCTACAATATTCTTTTAGACGAGCCAGAAACAGTGCATTATGGATATATTTTGTAAGCTCTGTTGTGTGTAATATACATTGGGACTTTGAGGGGTGCCAACCGCACTGTAGGGGCCTGGCCGCCCACATGTGGGTTACCCCCAATGATTGGAAACGCAGAAAATCAGAGAGCATTTACGTTGTACAGAGAACAGTATAATATTTTAACACGTTTTATAGGTATAAATGGTTGCTATGGAAACCCTTGGTGATGATGCCAATGTGCTCAAAGATGCTGTGTTCGGCACTTTTCTAACAGTAGCTGATATACAATAACATACCTCATGGTATAGAAGAATATACTCCTTATCCAATAATGATTTGTGATTATATAATATCAAAACTACTTTATATGCACTCTCTATGTATCAGCAATACTAATGCGTTGAGATTACTGATAAAGAACTTGTATACTATCTTTTGGTCTATTGTTAATAATTTAGTTTTACTCAACAGTAGTTAAAGTTATGTAGTTTAGTCAGACCTTGTTACTACAAGCTTCCGAATGGAAGCGCTAGTATCATCATTTAATACCTCTTAATTCACAAGCTTGAAAGACGCAGCCTAGTGTTCATAGCCTCATATAATTTGTCGTTAATGTTTTTCAGTTCTGGCAAGAACAGTAGCATTATTTCTCTTTGAATGTACAGCAGGTAAGTCGAGGCCTCCGTGACAGTCTGACAGTGTGTGATAGTTGCTTAAGGTAAGTATTAGGTACAGTATTTATTTGCTTTTTGTGAGCAATTTTTGGGTTGTTGCAGGTAAGCTTTAGCTTCTGGTCAGCTTTAATTGTACCCACTATAGCAGGGGAATTATGGCAGCAGCAGGTGGTACTGGGGTACGTGAAGGAAGTAGGTGGTACTGGGGTACGTGAAGGAAGTAGGTGGTACTGGGGTACGTGAAGGAAGTAGGTGGTACTGGGGTAAGTGAAGGAAGTAGGTGGTACTGGGGTACGTGAAGGAAGTAGGTGGTACTGGGGTACGTGAAGGAAGTAGGTGGTACTGGGGTAAGTGAAGGAAGTAGGTGGTACTGGGGTACGTGAAGAAAGTAGGTGGTACTGGGGTACGTGAAGGAAGTAGGTGGTACTGGGGTACGTGAAGGAAGTAGGTGGTACTGGGGTACGTGAAGGAAGT